GTGCTGTTATATGCATTGGGGTGTACAGTGTACATGAATGTGCCAGTAGCATTCATTCCTACCAGGTCTTTTAATATGCGACGTGAGCAGGCAGTCAAATTGTTTCACATAACACAAATGCCGGTACAGATTACGTGAATCACCTGATACGGTTGCAATTGGCAGGCTGAAATAAGATTGGAGTGGGGAAGGTATCACATGTATAATAACCACCCGGAGTTGAGGTGCACCCTCATCGGCAAAAGAGAGACAGGCTTGTGGGCTTTGGAAGTTTTTAACACGACAAGTTTCCACCCAAGGATCGTTATTTCCACGCGAAAAAACTGCCCTCTCTTGTTACCGTTCAGAGACTATTGGTTTGTCTCACCCCTTCCCACTAAAAGAAGCCCCCACCTCCTTTTTTTAAAATAAAAAATTAGACAAAGGTAAATGTTATCGGTCTGTTTCATTTCCCTTCAAAAAGTGTATAAAAAGCCCCATAATGTGAATGTAGCCTCATCCCCTCAGAAAGGTCATGAAAGGTTAAATGAATTTACAAATTTTTCGCCCCCCCCCCAAAAAAATGAGTCCCTTCCCCCCAAAAAATGGTTCTGGATCCATCCTTGTAATGTAATTGGTCTTGTACCCAGCATCTGGTCCATCATTGAATTGTTGTTTGGTTGGACCCGGCCTTGCAGATTCTTCTGGAGTCTCAGAACTGATGAGATACATAGCTGGGCTTTTGATTGGGGGAGGAGGTGGGGGGGGGAGCAGGGGTTGGAGTAAAGTGATCAAGAGAGACCGTGAAGAGAGACGCCAGCCTGGCCGTGGTATTTGACAGCATTGGTGGAAATGCCATCGCTCAGTCTAGCCTAGTGGGCCCACTGACTGGGGGGTTACTGAAGGTCAAAACTTTCCAAGCTTCAACTGTGGTATGCCCATCAAGGAATGGAGACATGTTACAGGACTGGTACATGTACATGTATACCCAGAGTTGCATGTAATACTCTTGAAAGTGGGTCGTAAAGATGTGGTGTTGGGTTGGTAAAGTCTGTTTCCAGTGTGACTTTGATTCTCCAGGGCCAGTTTTAGTGGGTGTGCTAACTAAGCCATATAAGATCACTGAGCAAGTTGCTTAGCACATGGTGGAATAAGAAAGCATTCCTCCATGCTCAGCAGAACTCGAGGTTAGCAAAATTTATCATAAATCCGGATTGTAGGAATGCAGAGGCATACCGGTATCATTATACGGGGGTTTACCAGGATGCAAATCTTTCCTGGTTTGGGATGGTAGGCCTTCCCTGCATTACAGGGACAAATTTTATTCGTTAGGAAAGCTGAGATCACATTGCGAAGACCCAAAAAAAGACCTATTTCAATGCAATACGTATATTCTGGTGGCAGATGTGTGTAAGGGGCACCGTAGGCCGTCACTGCTCTTGAGGGGACAATACTTTTTGGTATGAAAGTCGGGACCGAGTTGTGAGGACAAAAATTTGTCCCCGTAACGGTTTTGGTCCACATAACATCTGTTCAACATGCCTGGTGACGAATATGCAGGGTTTATTTTTTTCATTTGTCAGTTGTCTAGGTGATATTTTTGGTTGAGCACGAGGCAAATTTGGATCCAGTGTACGTGTCGGTTCTACGTGTGACTACCATTACGTTTCATCCTACCGGTATTTGTTTTTCACAGTTCATAAACCAGAATCATATGTAGTTGTAAACTCGATTACTCAACTCCCCAAACCTATGCTATACTTGCCCTGCACTCACTCGCCCAAGCGCAGCTGTGTTCCTGGATTTGACACTCAATTATGGTTACTAATGACCTACCAAGCCAGTTACTCTGGGAAGTACTAGTATTCAACAATACAATGAGAAAACATAGTGGCTTTGTCAAGTATTAAGAAGGAGAGTGGATATTTTAGTAAATGCATGCGATTCAACACCCCCCCCAAAAAAGAGTTGAACTTAGGGCAAATCAGCTTCAGTCAACCACATGTAAGTTCTGTGAGAGAAAGGCATAAATGCGTGTTTGGACGTTTTTTTTTTTCTGTTTAGATTCATTCTGCAAATTCAGTTGATGAATATGTATGACCTCTTGGCCAGGGGCCAATTTGCTTAAGCTCTAGAAAACATTGCTTAACAAATCAGGTAACCAGCCAAAACTCCATATAATGTATATTGTTTCAGGATTGTATTTAGCTGTCCTTTGGTAAGCATGACAATAGGTAGAGTTTGAGCTGGTAACCTTTGGTTTTTGAAGCAAATTTGTTTTTCATGCTTAAGCAGCTCTATGAAATTGGCCCCTGGTCTTGGCTATTCGCTTAACCTGAGAGTATTTGTATATGATCATATATTGCACATGTTTGTACGAGAACACCATGGATAAGTGCGAGGGGAGTAACTGAGTGTACCGCACTCCTTCATGCATTCTTGCTACCAATATCCTGCTTGCTCTGTGCCGTTTATTTCCAGCCAAAACAAAACAAAGCAAAGTAAAAAAAGCAAGAAACAAAAGCAGAAAACAAAAGCAGAAAGGACAAAAAAAACCCCCTGCAAATGCAGATCTTCGTGTACCAGCTGAATGCTGCACAGATGGGAGGAATTGGCATTCTTGTTAAATTCAAACCATATGCATAATACTTATTTGGAGTTGGAACAATTGCTTGAAACCAGTATAAAGGTTGCTCCCTGCCAAAGTCCATTAGGAAAAAAAATACCACTGTACGATGAGACATAAAACTACCGTACTCCTGGCAGGGTAAGTGTTCCTTCATTTACATGTGCGTGTACATCTACACGCCAGCATAAAAGCAACAATGGCAAAATTATCCACAGTACCCTCAAACATGCATGCCATATTGTCAGCGCTCATCTGTACAGTAAATATAGCGGCCTTGAGTGGAGAGAGCTTACAAGCAAGCAGTGTACATGTACATTTGTACACACATGTACACGGGGCCATATTATACATGTATACTGGTATCAATAATGCATACATCAACCCATACGGTGCTAAGGGGTAATTTTTGCTGAGCCTAATTGGTCTAGGTACCCAAAATGCCCGTACCACTGGTCAGAAATTTATTCTGGACTTGTATTATCATATGTATAATGTTTTCCATTAATTTTTTGGATTTGTGAGGGTAACTTAAATGGAAACTCATGTGTATGTGTATTCTACATCATTCATGTATTCAGCCTGTAGAATTTGCCCACCAAAATTTAAAGAGTCTGAGGTTAAAATCTGGCAAGGTAGGGTCCCTCTTCACTTTATTTTCATGAAAACCCTGGGCTTTCGGGGCTGAAATTGAATGAATTGAGGAAGATGAAAACATGCTGACTGTCAGGTTGTTGCATTCCCAACCTCCAGCCCACTCCCCCCCCCATGCTCACATGTAGGCTTCTAACTGATGTTCAGGTCGTAGCCCTGGGGCAGAGGAAGTTCCTGCTAAGAACTTGAAGGGTGCTTGCCCAGGACCTTGAGAAAGTCTTAATTAGGGAGGTCGGGCAGAGCTCCAGGGTTGGGGCTGATGTGGATTTTTAGCTGATTAAGTGCTGAACTGTTCTTGAAGAAATGTCCAGCAACGTTAACCGGGAAGTGAACAGAAAGGGGATAAACCCTGAAATTTGTAATGTGATGTTCGAAGAGAATTAAATGTGTTCTTAAATTACTCCTATGAAACTGCAGTTTGCTGTGGAGTCAGGATTTTTCCTTTATCGCTTCATGTTGCAACATTTTTATTATATTACGAGTTGGGAATTCACCTCCCTCCTGAAAGGCATTGAAAATGAAGCGCCAGATGTGGTTAATTTTAGTCATTTAAATACAATATCTGCATTGTTGATTTATACATTTTGTGTTTGTGCTTTTGATGCACATGTATGTGCTTGAGCCCGGGTGCTTGAGACCGGGTGTTTGAGCCCGGGTGCTTGAGCCTGGGTGCTTGAGACCGGGTGCTTGAGCCTGGGTGCTTGAGACCGGGTGCTTGAGCCCGGGTGCTTGAGCCTGGGTGCTGTATTGGTGGATGTACATGAAGTCACTGATGGGACCGACTTGCAATGCAGATAAATGCAAATACCATTTGTCTGGACATGTACCTGAGTACCAGGCATTCTGATTCCAAATGGCCCTGACTGATGCAGACTAACGTACATGTACATGTACTTCTCGGATGACTGGCAAAGTTTAACCCAGTTCAGCTTTGCCGATTGCCTATAAAGTGCACATGCTGTGCACACACAGATTGCGATCAAGTGGAAATGCATATGCTTTGATGTGAAAAGAACGAAATTAAAAAAAAAAGAACTGAGCTCAAAAGGGAGGCTGTGCAAGATGGGCAGGCGGTAACTCAGATACTGAACGCGAAAGCTTAACTGGTGATGTTGGTGTTCATGGAATGCGCCTGGTGCCATCTGTGTCTCGGTAAAGGGTCCGATCAAAAGATGCCAAAGTACATGTACATGTGCCACATGATCACACCGTTGCCCATGATGAGCCACCAGTATTGTGGGCAAGGGTTTGGTTAGCATGACAGTATCTGTTGTATATTGTGCACTTGACAGTGGGGTTCATTTTCACGTGAAGTAACTCTGAAGTTTTCATCCAATGGCGTCATGGTCACCACTTGTGTCATGTAAGGTTGTCATTGCTATTCTGATGCAGCAGTGGCTGGTTGGTTAGCACTTTGTTTTTCCTCACAACTTTTACCATTTTCGAAGCCTTGAAGACTTGCTTACTTAGTACATGTGCATGTAAATACTGTGTGTGGTTTTGCCTACGACAGTGGTCGATGTATGTATGTATGTATGTATGTATGTATGTATGTATGTATGTATGTATGTATGTATGTATGTATGTATGTTGTGTCACTTGGGCCAGTGAGAATGCCCTATTTGGAATACTGGCATTCATGTATACATACATATGCGTATGTGTGTTTGTTGCTAAAACTAATTTTTTAAATAAAACACTCTGTTAACATCAACACACTGCTATTGCCTCGTGTTCACAGGATTCCACCTCAGCGGCACAGTCACAGAGCCCGGCAACCAACTCTACAATGAGCCGGAGCAGGTCCACCGCGTCTCCATCAGCTTCGACCGCTGCAAGATCACGGCCGTCACCTGCACTTGTGGCAACCGGGACATCTTCTGGTGTCAGCACGTGGTGGCGCTCTCCCTCTACCGCATCCGCCAGGCCGGGAGCGTGCAATTACGGCTGCCCATCTCGGAGACGCTCCTGCAGATGGATCGGGAGCAGCTGCAGAAGTTTGCCCAGTATTTGATCACCGCCCACCATACCAATGTCTTGCCAACAGCCCAGCAGCTGGCTGATGAGATTTTACAGTCCAAGTCTAGAATCAACCAACTACCGGGTAAGTAACACTCCCAGTGTAGTCATTATTTTGTTCTTTTCACTGTGCTGCAATAGACTAAGCCGAGGAGTCACCATCACTGCAGTGGCACTACGCTTGCATTTTCAAACATGAGGTGCAAATATATTTTGGCAAATCAGGATGCTTTGTTGGTCGAAGAGGACAGTAACTTATGTAGCAAACATTATGCCACTACAGTCATGGCTTCCACATATATTTCTCGGAACCGATTTGGTCTATACTGTACCTGCTTCAGTTTCTGTTACGTCTCTGTTGGAGGTTGCATTTGCTTGTTACACATGTAGATTAGGTACCATTCAGCAAGACAGTTTGGGATTGGAACTTATCCCACCTCAGAAACCTCTCAGTATTGTAGTTTCGAACTCCGTTAAATTAGGTGCTCAGATCGTGGAATGAAATATTGTGAACTTCAACTGTGTGAAAGAGTTTAAAAAGGTAGTAATCTCTCCAGTGGGACTGACAACATATCTTTAAATATCTTACTGCAAAGTAATGTAAGTAACAGCGTCAGATGATCTGTGAAATATTTCTGCTTGGAATGCTGTCATTTTCGAGGCAAAAGAAATTTTATACTTCTTCCAACAATCGTCTGGCTGATTCACCAGTTCCACTAGGAAAAGATCTTTTTGCAGAACTCTAATTTTGCCCGTCTGTGTGACTTTTCACTTGTGAAAGTTAAGACCGAATGCCCCCTTGGCAAGTTCTTTGCATTCACTGGATGTGTATACAAATACCCAACAATGACCAGCTAACCCCCCCAAGACTTGTAAAAAAACAGTAAATGAGCTGGCCAGAAGCACCAGACGGGAATACCTGTGGTTTTCTGTACTTAGATTTTGGTTTCAATTTGACAGGGAATGCAGTTTCTATACCTATTCTTGTTATTCTTGGAATCTGTAAGAAGAGAAAGTGAAAAAATCAAATAGGACCGGGTTTTTTTTTTTTGGATGTCTTTGGATTTATTGCGCACCCCATGCCGGGAACCAGTTTACAATGAAACCCAAGAGAAAGAAAGAGGAGCTGAAGTTGCTTGTAATTGAAAAGGGTAATGCAGGCTTGACACCTGTGGTAAACATGCGTGTAGTTTATATCAGACGTAAGTAATCGACTGGGGCTGAGGCTTTTGTGTTTCTGACACAGAGCAGGTTTGTTCGCCTTGGAATCTGAGCAATTGGGCACGGGTGGGAGTCAGGTGACCCCTGTTGAGAAGGAGGTGGCATTTATAAAGACCCTTTTCCCCACATTAAACGAGTGGTGTTGCCCAGAAAAAAAGGGACAATTTTTCATATGATGTAAGATATGGGGTGGAGAGAACCCCCCCCGCCCTTGTGTTGGTCATTGCTTGATCGAAATCTGAGGAATTCTTTACAGACTTACAGAGGTGTGGGAGGTTGCAATCGTGATCTCTGACCTTGATCGTAATCATTGGATCATCCACAGTCATTATGCCAAAATAAAATGAAGCAACAAACAGACAAACTTCCTGCCTCTTTGTGGCTGGCACGTTACCTTCCTTCATGTGAATGTGCCACAGGAGTGACTGGGCATTGTACCAAGCCAAAGGCGAAGTGAAGGTTCTGGACTTCTTGGAGAATTTGACCACAGAGTTTCGAGATTGCACCACATTCACTCTGTACACTTTGTGTTTGGCAACATACTATTGTTCTTGTAGTCATAAAATGTGCGCATATCTCACACTCTGGTTTGAAGATCGGTGCGAGTATACATATAATAAGCAAAGAGCATTGCCTGGCCGTCTAAAAAGAACTGAAACCCATACATGTATGTGGCAATATACCTCTCTTGGCAGTTGGCTGGCATCAGGTTTCTTGTTAAAATGAAACTTGTCTCCCCTTAGAAAGGTTGTTTACTTTGGAGTTGTATGAAATTAGCCCCAGGTTTCAAGTCGTACCAGAGTTAGGTACAGTCTCTGAAGGTTTCCCTGGAACACAAAAGGGGAAAAATTCTGAAGCAGGGATTTTTGTGTGTGTGTGTGTACAGGGTTCTTCAAACAGCTGTACAAGTAGGGTAATGACCCAGTATTACACGCACCAGCATCTTTTTTTTATGGCATGGATCCTAGTTGAAATAAGCTGCAGGACAACACAATTTTCAAATGTACCTGCACATGTAAAGCAACACAATTGTGAGCTTTTGTGTCTGTTGGAATTTGTCAGATCCTACTGTGATCATTTCCCCAAATGGACTTTTGTCCAAATTTTCAGCCGGGACGTTTTCCTGTCGGTACAGGGATGGTATCTTAAATACACCTATTGCAGAAGGAAAAAGAGTTGGCCTAGTGTTTCACAATATGCAGGCCATCTGTTATGTCACATGGCCCCTCCTCCGCACTCCCTGGGCTGGCAGCCAGGGGATGGGCTGAACTTTTCACTTGCCCTGGAGGCCGATACCATGAAGCCAGCCTGCTCCAATGTTCTCTCAGTCCTCCCCCCATGGTTTAAGCAAATTTGAGGGGAGAACTGTGGCACTGTGATGCACAGCGGAGAGGTGCCCTGTCCAGTTGGCAGGCAATATCACCCTACAGTAGCTAGCATGTTACACAATAGAAATGTCACAGTGAAAGAGGATTGTAAGGGTGTTTGCATAATCTGCAAGAAAAAAAAAATTCCTGTTTTATCCTTCAAACCTCCCGGATACTTTACAGCCGAAAGCCCTTTCCTTGTGGTGTACAAAACTGTACATGTACATGTGCATTATTCCCCACAGTGCCAGCAGAAAAAAAAAAGGCCAGCATAATGAATGATGATTCGAAATTCAGAGAATTGCTTTATAATTTCACAGGTCAGTGAATTGGCCCGGAGCCTTCTGACAATAAACGAAGCAGGACTATCGTTTTCAGTGCCTTTTATTTCGCTTCTGACACAATTTGGAAACAACTGAAAAATTGAGTTACACTTACCATTTGGGCTCAAGATATTTGAGGAACTTTTTTCCAAATTGAGGGAGTTTTGTGGTTGGAACTTGGAAGAGGCGTTCATAAAATTCCTGACCAGCATAGGCAACAGAATTTTGAAAAGCATGGAGACTGGCAAGAGAAATAAGGAAGGAAATGGCTTTCCTTGATGCCATATTGAGAGGAAAAACATATGGGAAACTCCAAACAATTACAGACATGGATTGAGGGAAATTGTTTGGCACAATTTAGCCAAAAACGTACCATATGATGCAGAATTCTAACCTGATGGGATTCAAAGAAGGATCTCATGAGGTTGGGGCATGCTTCCCCCCTCCCCCCAAATAGTTTGAAGTCCATTTTAGTGAAGGTCAGGTGTAACAGGGACAGGATAATGTCGCACATTGAACCCCAAATTTATAGAATGAGTCAGTTGCTTTAGATCATGAAAATATATAGCAGGACCAAAACTTCTAGTGGGTCCAAGAGACTCAATGAAGTGGAGACTTGTGCTCCAGTTTCCTTTTCCAAGTTTACTGCTTCCACCCTCCACCCAAAGAAGAAGTAAATTTGCTGGAGAAGGACCTGCCCGAGTGGTATAAAAGGCGGACGTGATTGCGTAAACCAGGAAGGGACATTTCTGTCATGTGAACCTTCAGCATGTAGATTTACCTGGAGCTGAATCATTGACTTGGGAAGGGAATGCACCGTGCTTGCGCCGCAGATTTACGTTTTGCTCTGTCCTTCTGCCTCTGAGTGATTCAGTAATTTTCAGGCATAATGCCAGTCATCTGACAAATTACTGTCTCCGAAATATTGACCTGTCACATTACAATGGAGGCATCAGGACTGCGCAGGCACTTTTTGAAAGCCTGCAAAGCAAAATACAATTTTGACCAAGCCCTCGCGCCGCGGTGTTTGAATCTGTTTTACAAAATTGTGCATTTGTCCGTGAGACTTCTCGTGCAGATTTGTTTCTGAGTACATTTAAGGGGCCTTATCCTCATAGGTACATCTCCCAAAGCTACACATATGTGAATTTATACTGAGGGATGAGAGAGGAGAAGAAATTCCAAATTCAATCAACGGGCTGCATTTATTGTAAATTTACACCATCAAGTTGAGTGCGGTGCTGTTGCTGCTTCTGTTTTTTCTTCCCCCTTTTCCCTTTCCCCCTTCTCTGGCGTTGAGTTGGAGACAAGCACAAAGCACGAGGCAGCTGTGGAGGCTCTCCAGCCCCCATGCATAATGGAGGAGCGTGTCAGGCAGTGAATCGGCAGGAAGTTTGGTGACTTATTCACGCTGTCCGAAATCCAATATCTTTTCCCCACCGCGATGACAAATGTACGCCAAAAGGAAAGGCCCTCACCTGCGCTAGCCGCTGCCGCCAAGGCTCCTCAGCATATGCATTGCCCGCGCGGCATTAACCGGTTCCCCTGCAGTGCTGAGACTTGCGAACGGACACACAGGAAATTCTGCTGGCCCCATCCATAATGGCTGCCACTAGCGATTTCAACTCAAGTCAGCAGCCTGTGCGGAATCACAATTTTTTTTCATTTACCCGGCATTCCCTTCCACGATTGGCTTGTTCCCTCTTTAAACTTGCAGAAGTCTCTCATTTGGCGTATAGATCGATCCCTTAATCCAGCTGGGCATGTACATGTATATAGTTGTGTGTGTGGGGGGGTAGGGGATGGCGGGGTACCAGCAATGACTAACCGCTAGTGAAATGTTGTGGTTAATTATGCCGTTAATGCCATAATGGTAATTATTTCCTGTGGCCTTAATTCTATTACTGTCATCCTCCTCGCTTTAACACTCGGGTTCCGTGGGCGTGCAGTCTCTTATACTTACCAGTGACCGGGATTCGGGAGGGGAACAGAATCAGCATTGTATTGAACGTCATGCTTTCATAATCCCATTTCACAAATACAAGTAGATACATACATGTAGTGCTTTGTCTCATGATGTCCTCTGGTGTTCACTGAGACATGTATCGGAATATCATGTGTTTATTTGTAATGGACTGAAAACGAAAGTGGAAGGGAGAGGCAAAAACCAGAACATTATGTTTAATTTATTTGGAAAGTTTAGGGTTGTATTTCTTCCTTGTTGAACCAAGATCGGATTTCCACTTTTGCCATCCCAGGAGAGAGTATTGGCTCTTGAGTTTACATGATAAGCAAGAACCAGAACCAGCTGAGGTCCAGTGGAAGGACGGGGAGGCTTAATTACTTGGCGTTTCCTGTTGTTACTAACCAAAACTTGTCAACTTTTAAGGGAATGTGTTTGGAATTGAACTTTTTTCCTTGCTTACATTTCTATGTACATGTACAACTGCTGGTGGCTACTCAGTGCATGCGCAGGTGGCCGTCAGTTAAATTTGCCTGTCTCTTGAAAAGTCTGTAAAAAGTTATCCCCTCTTCACACTCCCACCCCATTTTGACCTCGGATTTACAGCAGCTCTGCTGTACTTTTGAGTTCCCCCCCTTGTTTTCTTCCTGACTTGTATGTTTCTCTCTCTCTTTCAGGTGCCCCAGACCCAACCGCAGGTGCCAGCATCGATGATGATAGCTGCTGGCACCTGGACACAGAGCAAGTCCAGGAACAAGTCAAGCTTTATCTCCAGCAAGGGGGCTACTATGATTCGGAGAAGCAACTCAACTCATTATTTGCCAAGGTCAGGCAGTCAGTGAAATAGTTGATGAATTCACCAACTCAAAAGCACTCTCTGCCAAGGTGCGGCAGTCAGTGAAATAATTCAGATATTCACCAACTCAACCACGGGTGCGTGGGGAAGGGGGGGCGGTCTCCCATAAGGTAGTCATTTTGCCCCTCCCACCTACTTTGTAGGCCTACCAGCCATTGGAGGTACACCGCAACTTCATAATTATATTCTTTTCACGTACATGGCAATGTTGCCGCAGTAGCAAAAGCTTGTGCTGCATGTTTTGGCAAATGCTCACAACATTTTATTGATCAAATTTTATCCAAATGTTTTGCACATGTGTCTGTATGTGATGTCCATGTGTAATATCGACTAAAATTAACAGACGGATTGGGCCGTAGATGTATTTTAGAGTGTTTGTCCGTTTGTTTTGATTGTTAACCATTTTGGACGATCTCCTTTTTCAAAGAAAGTTTGAGGATGGTAAGGAAGTTGGGCTTTACTGCATTATTTTGGATATTTTCAATTTTTTTTTAAATTTTTCCTATTAATTATAGGACAAAGTAAAAAAAGTAAACAATTTAGGGAGAACAAAAAAAAAACAGAATTGGATGAAACCTACATGTGGCCTTGTGGAACCACAATTAGTTTGGTATAAGTTAAAGGTTTCTCAGTTTTATGAACGAGTCACAGATAGACCAAACAGGTGTACCCGTACCTTTCTGGCAGTGCAGAAACATTTTTTTTTTCATGCACTGGCATGTGGGCATACAGCAGAACATGAAATAACGCAGCACTGCATGCATGCTCCATGTTCACTGCTCTCTTCCCTCCAGATCCAAATCCGCTTGTGAAACAGCAGGGAATTGAACCCTGAACCCCCCCCCCACTTTCCCCATGTTCACCATTGGATCTCTAGAATTGTCTGCCAGGAAAGAGTGGTTTGATTTTTTTTCCCAGGTTTTTTTTTTCCTAGTGTGTTAATTAAAAGTGAGCATGCAGGGTTCATCTCGTGATTGGTAGAGGTCGTGGTTGAGTTGTTACTGTTTTGGGAATTACAGATTTTTATTGTCTGAAATTTAACATAAAGAGACTGAACTGTTTTCCCCCCCCCTCGAAATCATGCCATTTCTATTTTTCATTCTACAACCAGAATTTAAACAAATGACACTTGCGTGTGAGTGTGAAAGTGTGACATACTGTATTTTTTACTTCTGCTTTCAGTTATTGTTTCAGTGTAAACTTTGTAATAAATTTATATGAGACCAAAGAAATGCACAAAGAGCAAAACTTTTACTGGACTAAAACCGCAAGTGATGAACAAATAATTTTCCGTACAACCTTTCTCTGAAATTTCTGGTAAGGATAACAATCAAGACATAGTTCAACCACAGAGCGGAGTTTACATTTTCAATTTGGGTCATGTACAAAGGCCATGCTTCTATGCAGCAGGGGCAGATCCAGAAATTGTTGAGGGGGGATGGTTGTCAGGCCTGTCCGATCTTTTGTATGTTCACTTCTTGTTAACAGACGGGCGGAAAGGTAATGCATTACATTGTTAATGATGCATTTACATGTACCTTTATACATAAAGTAGGATGTCATCTTTCTTCATTACTTCAATAATTGTTATTTCATGATTTTATTTCTTGTATATACATGTGTCATAGACGGGGAGTTTGATCCACAGTCCCCTCCCTGGATCTTTGCCTGTTCCGATCATCAAATTCAAAAGAGCAGACCAATTAACTTCATGTCTGACTTTTATGTACATTCCTAGTGGGAAGTTGCGGGTATAGATACTATATTAACTTGGGTACTTCAATAAATATGGAGCCCCTGGCAAAGGCCAAACCTCTTTATTTTGGAGGCCTGTCTGAGGTTGTGTCTGACGTACAGGTATACATGTATGTGCACGTACAGTAGCCGCTGCGTGACTGCTGGGTACTTTGTCCTCCCTCAGTGTGCGTACCGTTCTAACGGATGTACCTGTAAGCCCTCTTGCAGTTGTGGGATTTTCTTCTTTTGTTCTTCAAATGTAAAAAGGCAATAGGCAGGATGTACATTCATTCACGCCAAATTGCATAAATGTTCCTCGTTCAGATCGGTATGTCTTGAAAACAACATGAAAAGAAGTGGAAAAAAAGACAAGATGGTGCAGTTTATTTGGATCCGTAGAGGTAGGCCGACACTAAAAAATATTTGGACAGTTCGCACGCATGCGTCGGCTTTCTTCCGGCAGTACCCTGTCGCCATCTGTTTGAGAGAACGGCACTTTGACCGTGTTACCGTACTTGCACAACCCTCTGTTAGAATTTATTGCTGCTCACTCAATGCATGCAGAAATATGCAAGTACCACTGTTCGTGGCTATTCATGCAAGCAGTTCTCAGTTAAGTCATGTTCTGAGAGTCAGGAGTAATGGGGGGAAGATAGAAACCAGAGCAGACTTTAAGATGAGGAATCGCTGAAGGAACTTACCTGTAGATGAAGGGCGCCCATAGCAACGGGACTTCTTTCACCTCGTCGTGTATTTTAAGACAGCTGCGTATAATTTGAAAGGTCCCTCCTTTCCTGGCAGGTACGGGAGATGTTGCGAGTACGGGACTCCAACGGTGCTAGAATGCTGACACTCATCACAGAGCAGTTCATGGTGGACCCACGGTTACAACTTTGGAAGCAGCAGGGCACTCCGATGACGGACAAGCACAGGCAGCTCTGGGACCAGCTAGGTAAGGACACGTCGGCCTTCGTTAATACCAATCAAACATTACAATATTTCCCCCAATCCGCGTCCAAGGTTTACATCTCTCTCCATAATTCATCCAAATATGCGGGAGCTCCAAGTACATTTACACGTTGAGTTTCGGTAGGGGCTGGGATAAAAATAACAAGGTTTGCAGAGAATAGGCCCAATAGGTTTGTTGTGCCGCCTTGAGGCTGCATGCCGTTGTACAAAAACCGTCCAGTTTTCAGGATCAATCGAGAAACTATTCCTGCAAAATATTTTTACCCAAACTCCCTGTATCAAGATCATGTTTTTGTTTTGTTGGTTTGTTGTTTGCTTGTTTGTTTTTGCTTGTCTCTCCCTTTGGAGGGCTTGTTAAGTGGTTACTTAACAACACGAGAACTGCATCATTTTGCCTGGAAACACCAAAAATAACCGAGCTGGCATTCATTAAAGCGGAACATACTGCCAAGTTTAGCAATGCTGCATTGTTTCCCCTGTTTTTACCCCGTCTTCAAGAATTGAACCGGTACAGGGTTACAAACAGGAAGGCTGTGTTTATGCCCAAGGATGGACTTACATGGAGGTGATGTGACACATGAAGGCAGGCCAGGAATGGGAGAAGGAGGGAAGGGAGAGAGGGGGGGGGAGAGATCGCGGCAGCGGACACAGCCAGGGGAGTCTCTGTAGGACCATAAAAATAAATATTACAGTCATTTAGAGCTGCTGACATGAGAACTGGGACCCATTTGCATGTCTTTGTTTGGACCGTCTCATGAAATATACATGAAGTCAGATCAATTACTTGGTAACGACAGTTGTAGGAGCCCTGCTGGGGGAAAGAAGATAAAAATTGCCCATCCAAGGCAGGGAATAATGCTAAGGCAATGATGATTGCAGGGACGAAGATTGGCGCCCCCCCCCAAATCTATGCAAAATTGTTCATGTTTTTTAGGTGGGTTCTGGCGTTTGAAGAGGGTGCTTGCATTCCTTTCATGTTTATAAATTGTTGGTAAAGATCCATATATAAATGACATGCATATTCAGGAGATTCTGAGACTGTCCCTAGCTCTCTGTTCGATCACAAAGTGGTTTATTTCTGGCTCCAATATTGGGAAAAAGAAAACACCGTGGTTAATAAGTACATGTACTCGTAGATAATTTGGTAAGCCTCGTGGCCACATACTTACTGGTGGAGGGGTTTGGGCATTGTACACATCTCAAGCGTAGTGCATGTTTCAGCTTAAAGCGCCTACACAGCATTCGGAGTGCCTAACTAGCATTTATTTTTTGTCCCGGATAATACTGTAGATAATACTGTACGCACACAGTTGTTTTTGCCGGGCAAATGAGCAATGTTCTATCGGCCATGTGTTGCCAACTCAGTGGGTCTGTTTGCTAATGATAATGAGGTCATTAATTGAAAACCAGCGGTGCAGGTGGGATTCTTTGTTCTCGTCCTTCAGTAGGGGAACATCAGCGTAGAAGGCATTTTGAAATCACATTAAAAGAGAACGGAACCACACTGCCATCTTGTATCGTGCATGTGTACATGCGTACAGACACGTACTCCATAAACAGCGATCTGTGCATGGTCAGATTAACTTGCTGGGAAGGTTGAAACTTTTCCACTTTACATGTACCGTGCATATGCAAGTACTGTACCATTTTGCTAGAATGTCACGCAGATGACTGTCGTGTTGCCTAATTTTCATAACAGTGGCCAAAATTTGCAGAAATTTCCCTGTTGATTGGTCGTGGCAAAAAGAGGTATATTTGCCCCTATTGCTATTAAGTAGGGTTTTATTCTAGTGTTTTATCTGGTGGTTTGATAATGGAGTGAGATTTTTTGAAAAACTTGATAAAGTATTCTTTTGCTTTTGTGCTGATAGCCAGCTGTAATTTTACCACTCAGCAGTAGGCAAAAATATGACCTTAAATTAATGTAGAAAATTAATTCTTGGATTATGGCTGGAGTTTATGGCAAACATGTACATATGTCGGTTTACATGGCCTTAATCACACTTTTCACAAAACACCACCAGAAAAATTGAAAACTGCGAGGTGCTATCATTTTTCTTAATAGATCTAGTATTTGATGCATCCACAGAAGTCATGATTGCTTAATTTAGGAGAAATAAGTTTATAAAAGTGTTCATTTTGTAAAGGTTGATGCATATTTCCTGGCATTGATAATATACAGGTATCACATTGAAAAGCGCAGAATGGCACGATGCTACTCATCCGAACTTGGACAAATATTTAATAGCACACAACAGTTTCTCATACTGGTAGCAGTAACTTCTGCTGAATTGGATTAGAGCCAGCTACCTAATCCTGACAAACCCGGTGGTTAAGCGGTCAAAACGTCTGCACCTGTTAGCTGTAAGTCGTGGGTTCGAATCCTACCAGAGCAAGCATGTAATTTGTTCATTGGACCGCACTGAGAATACAGTGAGAAAATGCCTGGTATGAAAAACATAATCCTAGATTTGCGGACTCTTCGTGTATTGTTTTCCGTTCAAAATGGTGTCAACTTGACCCATGATTGGAACTGTACAGTGTTGAAAACTGTTCAGCATACGAGCATGTTCAGTACTGTACCAGCAGTGCAGTAGGCACTCCTACAGCAACTGCAATGTGTCATCTGGTTAGCCTTTCCTATGTGAATGTTTATGGCATAAGGCTGAAGAAAGTAACGGAGAAGTTCATACTGATTCTCCTGTTGGTTGAAAGGAGGCGTTCTTTCTCTTTTAGCTTCAAGCAATCCCCATAAAAAGTGAAAGGCCTCCAGTATCAAGCATGGGATCAATACCGCGCTGCATCTTCATCGAATCGGGCCCCAGATGTTGTTCTTTATTCCTCCAATTAGCCCTGGCAATAAACTGGATATCAATAGCCATCATTGAGCGTTGCCACGGTGATGCCACAAGGATGCAGGTCTACCAGTGACCCAGCCTTGGAGTTGGGAATTGAGAAATCAATCGCATGGAACTGGTGCACGCATCTGAATGGAGACAGAGAGTGGAGTGTAGGGGCCTACCGAATGGACGTTGTCCATAGGCTGTGCTGATTAATGAAGGCAGTTGTCATCAGTAGATGATTCCCGGCCTGTCGAAGGTGTCATCCGCTGTGCCGCAGCACCAGTTGTCAACTGGTCAACTTCTCCTGACCTTTGTCCCTGGTACTAGATGGCCGTTGTTGATACAGGGACCAGCTTGATCTTTCCTTTTTCTCCAGAGCTGCTGTTATTTTTCCGATCAGCCTACGTTGCTCTTCTGTCTTAGCTGGTGTGCCCTATCAAATGAATGCTGATTTTAAAGTAATGTGAATGTCATCAATACAGTTTAACAGGAAATGTTCAGTGCAGCTCGGTAAAAGTCATCTTTTTCTCACCTGTGCAGGTTTTTGTAACCAAAAAGAACATACAAGTATTTTTCTTGCCTTTAGAATGACACTTTGCTGTCATCCTCTTTCATATCCATGATGTTGAAAGCTACATGTAGAAATACAAATCACAGAATAGGTTGAAGTGACTGGTATAGAGGGTTTGCATGGCTGCCATCTTGCCGGCCATTGCTTTTGTTGCACAAGGTATGCACAAAGGAGGCTTCCCTGTGGAAGAAAAGATCTACCCTGTAAGATGGCCACCTTGCAAAGCCTCTGTTGTGTTGTGGAGATATCGATCCTTGTGGTTAGTACAAGATTGTAGAGAGAACTTTTCTGAGCACCTCTCTGGTTCATGGCAAGCCACACTCGATACTTGGAGACGGTTTGTATTTCCACTAACGAAAGAATATCAACCTCTCAACCGTCCAACAAGCCACAACATCACTCCTGATTCCACGGCAAGGGCCCAAAACCCCGGGCAGCTAGCTGCCTGTGTACCCCCGGCAATGCCTGTCCAAGTGCGGACTGCAACATAAACCGATAGAAGACCCAAGTGCCCCCTCTCTCCCCAGAGGAGAAATGATTCATGGACAGCATGCTGTGCCTGGACTTCCAGGAGGCCATTCGCTAGTCATCACTGGAGTAATTGATCATACACACACCTTTGCCAGGCAGATTCCATTCCGGAAACAAGGGGAAGGGGGGTAAAATGTCCACTCCTTGAAGAAATGGCATTGGGGAAGATTTTTTTGGGGGGGGGGAAGAGGAGAGATTAGTGACCAATCGCTGTTGGAAAGAACAGGAAAGGTTATCTGCAAAGCATTTGGTAGAAGCACAAGTAAATTTTTTCCTGTGAACCTGGGTTTAGTTGCAGTAGTGGAGGTGTGCTGTATATCTTGGAAGAACTCTTTCATGGTTGACCTTCAGAGCTTGACTAAATATGCAGCAGTGCTTGTACATGTAGTTACCTGCTCATGAGTTGACAGAAAGCCAAGCCCAAACATGTTTATGTGACGGGCCATGGCTGTGGCATGAAATCACACACCGTAGTTTATGGGAAGTAGCCACAGCCACGACCATGCACCCATGCGTTATTTGAAGCCACAGACATGTCATTCAGACTCGGTCCAGGATCCAGGACTTTTTCTCCAGGCTGGAGATTTTTTTTAAATATCTCCTTTTTAACGGATAAGCGGGGAAACGAAAATGAAACATTATACATGACTTATATGTATATTGTTTACAATGGTATTGTTGCACTTGCATGTACTTGTGTTATTTTCTATTATTTTTTCCCATTGTTTGTCTTTTTTTTCGTCTCAGAGTGGAATGGGGGAAGGGTTCCCCTTGGATCCACACCTGCCTTGTGCAGACTTTCCTTTGCTTTTAAGAGTAGTTAAGAAAATCTAGAGGAAAATAATATAATTACTCACCGTGGGAACACTGTTTAGTTCAATTTTTTTAAACCAGGATTTCATTGGATGCTTTTATGGATTTTGCATCGTGTAACCTCTGCCAAAAATTCCTTTAATATTTGCTTTAATTATGTTTAGTTTCTTGTTGGGTATGTAAAATCATATTGAAATTGAAGAATTGAGGGCTGCTAGGGTTTTA